TCCTCCTCCTCCATCACCTCCTCCTCCACTTCCATCACTTCCTCCTCCTCCATCACCTCCTCCTCCTCCTCCATCACCTCCACCCTATTTTCATTGTCTCCTAGGACTAACAACTGACCAAGTCCTCATACATGATATCATTTCACGTTTTCATTCTCACGCCCACTCCATGACGCTGGCACGATCATGCTCAAAAAACGGAGTCTCAGCTGAGTGGTGTGCCCAGAGGGGGCAGCACAGGAGTTTGACCCAGGCCTCTGCAGTGTTACCCAGGCCTGAAGAGATCTGGATCCCTCCCCTCAAGTGCCCCAGAACCAGACATGCGTCCCTGTACAGAGCCAGGGTCCAGAGAGACAGTGCCCGGATTTGGCCTCCCTGGTAGGTGAGACCACGAGGTGTTCAAAGGCCCATCTCAGAGGAGGGTGGGATTTCTGTCCACACACCCACTTGCCATGTGTCCCTGCTCAGTGAGGGCCTGAAGGACCCATGATCAGGATGGACACCCAGACAGGAGCCACTGTCTGAAGGCCCTCTGGAAGACCAGAAAGACTCCGGGCTACCTGGGATCCCTTGGGCTGGAAAACACGGGTGGACAGAAAGGTGAAGACGACAGGGGTGAGGCACAGATGTAGGGGGAGCAGGGAGGAGCCCTCCCGAGGCTTGCCCAAGCCCCCCACCCAACTCAGCAGGCTCTGAGTCCACCAGCAGACTCCACCCAGGCTTCCCACCCCTGAGACGGGCAGGCCCAGGGCCACCTCCCTCTGCAGTAGCGCGGGCCCCAGGGGCTGTGTCCTGGCCTGTGGCAGGGGCAACAGGCACGGGCCCTGCTGAACGGGTGTCCCTGGCATGGGTGGGCTCTCCCTTAAAGTTGGAGGGAAAGAAAAACAGGACGTGTTGGGTATTAGCATGCCCCCACCCCAGCTACACACTTGCCTCATGATCTCATTGGACATGCCAACAACTCTGGGAGCAAGGTGCTTTTAGGGTCCCAACCTGCCATGAAAAGAGCCTGAAGCTCAGAGCAGGCGACTGCCTAATGCAGGCAGAGCCTCAGGAGCGTGTATGCACATATATGTGCCTAGGAGTGCACCTGGGTGTGTATGTGTGTGCAAGGAGGGAGTCCTCACCCAGGGCTGGGGACAGGCCCTCTGGGTCCCCATGTCCACAGGAGGCTTCCGTCTATGCTGATGGGCACCTGGGCCACACGGTCCAGAGCTACAGGGCAGGGACTGGTTGCTGGGGGGGGGGGGGCGGCGTCCCACGTGGACCAGGAGGAACCTGACCCAGAGGCCAACATCCCCTTCTGTCCTCAGCGGGGCAACGTGGCTGGTTCTGGGCTGTCCCCGAGGCCTTGGAACATTCCCAGGGGTGGGAACGGGGAAATCTCTCAACTCCTGAATCCATATTTCCCCCAAACTTGGGGCCTCCGGAAGGTGACGCCAACCTAGGCGAGAAGTGGTTCCCCAGTTCTGGCCCCACAGACCCGGAGTGGGTGTGCAGCGTGACCGGGAGGGCTGTGGCAGGGGAAGGGCATGTCTCTACTCTTCCCCGTTGCCTCCCTGCCCACCCCAGAAACAGCTGCCTGAGGCCAAGGGCATCCTGGGTGCCCAGGGGCAAGGGTCTCCGCGGGGTCAGGACCACCACAGGCCTGGGGGCCACAGAGGCTTTTGGGGAGGGTGTGCAGGACCTGGGCCCTTCCCCTCCCCCGCCCCCGTAGAAACACCGCCAAGTACTTCTCGCTGGCCTCCCAGAGCTCCCCACGCCTGCCTGTCGTGTAGGCCAAGAGACGTGAACCTACACGTGTGCATGCACACACGTACGCACGCACATGCAGTTACACACACGCATGCACACGACACCCACAGCCCGTTCTCTCCCTGCTGTCTTCTCCTGAATCACACCCACTGGCCTGTCTGCCACCAGGGCCTGGGCATGGCCGCCCTCCAGCCCCGTGGCCTCTACACTCCCTGTGATGCTGGGTGGGTCTGGGGGCACCCGGGGGCGAGGGGACAGCAAGCCCGCCCTCCTCCGCACGGACCAGGGGACAGACGTTTAAGGCACAGCCTCAGCCTGGTGGTGGCAGCTGTGTCCCAGGCCAGCCCTGGCCGCCTAGCAGGTGACTCAGAGCGTGGTCTGGCAGGACACTGGGGCATTGAGAGAGGACCGAGCCCCTGCAGGGACAGTCCCAGCCTCTCTCGACCCGGGAACCCAGAGGGCACTGAGGGCTCCTCAGGCTCCGTGCCCCATGGCCGTGGCAGCATCTGTCCTTGGGGGGAGGAGAAGCTGCCCAGGCAGGTGTCCCGTCACACAGGTGACAGCGCCCTGGCCCTGAGGCCACCCAGAGGCCACTGGGGCCGCCCAAAGCCTGCAGCCCTGCCCACCCACTCCCGGTCCCCCAGCGGCGGTGACTCACGGGCAGCCAAATATAGCTGCGCAGTGGGAGCCGGCAGGGAAAGACGGGGATGAGCTCACTGCTCCTCAATCCAGCAGGAAGTAAGAGACCCCAAGGCCCGCACATCAGACCCTGCACACGCACATGCGTGGACGCACAGACACACACACGTATGCGCCCCAGAAACCGCACGTGCTCGTGTGGACACACGCTCATGCCAGTCGGCTATGATGAGGACCCCAGGGGAGGCCTGCAGACAAAGGCTCCTTGGGTCCTCCCCTTCCCCTTGCCCCTCCAACTGGGCCCCCCGGGCTGCCCCCTGTGGATGAGAGGGCCCGGGGGGGGCAGCCCCAACCTTGTGGGACCCCAGACACCGATGGTGGGGAGGCTGTGCTGGCGAGGCTGGAAGGGAGGGGGCCTGGGAGGCAGGGGCTGCAGAAGCCTCAGATCCCCCCCCCCCCCCCGTCTGCCCCCCAGTCATGCAGGGGAGCGTCCCCAGCTCAGGCACTTACAGATCAAAGACCAGGTAGTGGAACCCTTCCTCAGAGATGCTGTCATGCAGCCGCACTGTGGGGACAGAAGAGGCTGTGAGGGGCTGGCCCAGTCCGGGACCCACCCTCGCTGCACAGCCCCCCTCCCTCACGGAGGGGGCCCACCCATCCCGACAGGGGCCTGGGGCTCCCTGCAGCGGAGGGGCTGCAGGGCAGAGCCCAAGGGGAGAGCCATGGGTCCCAGGCGGACATCCATGGGGCCCTAGGTGTCCGTTGTCCCCTTTCGTCTGCCCGAGGGAGACCCAGGCCAGGGCACAGAGGGTCACAGGTGGGGTGCGGCCACAGGGTGGAGGCTTGCTGGACCAGGCCCTGGATAGGAGTCGCTCACAGGACCGTGACACAAGCCGAGGGCTCGGTCGCCCGCCTCTCAGGGCAAGCGAAGGGAGCCTAGTGAGGCACCACTTCCAGAAGCTCAGGCCCTGGGTTCGGGTTCCAGGTGCTCCCCCAGCCTGTGTGGTCCGCTCTGTGTGTCCCTGAGCCTGGAGCAGTGCCCGGCCCGAGGGCGCTGGCTAGCCTGTGACGAGCGAGTGAGTGGAGAGCCAAGTAAGTGGCTCTCAGCACAAAACACCACCGCCGCTCCATGGAGCTGGAGATGCCCCCCGGCGCTAAACAGCAAGTATTTCTAGGAACGTGCATTCTGGACGCTGCCCCTCCCGTGCCAGGTTCTGCTTCCTGCAGGCACTGCTCAGAGCGCTCCCACCACCCGAGAGGCCACACCCACCATGGAGAGGTGCATGGCTCCCCAAGGGCCAGGCAGCAAGCGGAGCAGGGTTCGGAACCCCCAGGGCCTGTGGCTCCTTGGGCCTCTCCCGGCAGGGAGGTAGGGAGGCCCCGACCTCACGCCCTCGACACTGCCTAGTTTCGAACCGCCTGCAGGCCTCCTTCTTCCTCTGGCTGTAACCCTCCCGGGGGCCCGACTGGCAGTGTCTACATGCCAGGAAGCCCAGTCTGGCTACAGTGGTCGCAGACATGGGCCAAAGCCTGGCACCGAGGCCGGGCTCCTGCCCGAGCAGTCAGGGCGTCCGGTCGCCGACTCTGGGAGCCAGCTCCTCTAGCCTGCTGCCCTCCCATTTCTTGCTCTGTGCCTCTGCTCAAGGGCCCGGCATCCAGCCTTCTCCCCTCTGCCCTCAGCGCCCCCCCAACCCCACGGCCACATGCTCACAAAGCGAGGTCTTCCCGGGCCCCGGGCCTCCACCAGCTGCCTGGGCTCAGTCACCTCTCCTGGGGACATCCCGGAGGCCTCCGAGCGCGCAGAGCCGATGATGACCTGCCTCTCCCCAACACCCAACAGAACCCTGCTCACTGCAACCTCCTTCTGGGACCCTCCGTGAAATCAGCGCAGTGAACAAAAGCTCACCCCCTCCAGGTGCAGCCTCCTCTGCCCCAGCCGCCTCCCCTGGAGCTCCAAGCAAGAAAGGCCTGGGGGCCCCTGAGGGACATTCCTGGGGGCCTTACTCTCCTTCCCTGGGGAGTCCCAGGGGTTCATGAAGCTGGGGTGCTGCAGGGGGCCCCTGCTCCCCAGTGCTGGTGGGAGGGGGCCGGGCTCCTAGGTCCTGCTGGCAGGTCCTACCTCCTCGCCCGGGAGACACAGGGGGTCTAGGAGGGAGTGGAGGCTGTGTGCATGTGGACATTTTTTTTTAAACATTTTTACCATTTAAAAAATAGATGCACGTTATTTTAATGGTTTAGAAGGAAACCTATCTAGCATACCAGACCGTGATTTCTAACAGAGCCTAGGGAGAAAGCAACTTGTCACAGAACCTACTTAAATAAAGCAGGAAGTACGTAACACTGAGCAGGATACGTAGTGACGACAGCCTGCCCCACCTGCACCCGAGAGCCCAGCCTGGAAGCCCCGCGAGGCCGCCACACAGAGGGCACAGGGGTGCACCCAGGATGCTCCCCCTCGCCAGGGCCACAGCTCTTCCAGGGGCTGTACCTGAGTCCCAAGCCAGGGGGCTCTCAAGGGGGCCCCTCCACCCTCCCAGGCAGCCTCCGGACCCCCTTCCTGGACCCCCGTGCTGGCTGTGGTGGCAAGGCCTGGCCCGGATGCGTAACATCCAGAGACCTTTCTCCTCTCCCCGACTTGCATTGGCCTCCACCGTCCAGGCAGGAAGTGCCCCCAGGGCATGTCCTCCATGGTGCCCATCTACCAAGCTCAGGGGTGAACCACCTGGCAAAGGAGGTCAGTTCCAGCCCCAGAAACCAGAAGGTGGGGGTTTGCCCTCTCTGAGCCAAGCCCTGAGTAGAGGGTCAGTATGCAGAGGGGAGGCTGAGTGCAGGTTGTGGGGAGGCCGGTGGGAGGCTGGGGGAGGCTGGGTGAGGCCCATCCCAGACACCCAGGGCTACTCCCCACAGAAGGCACCGCCGAAGCCAGGCCACATGGCTGCCTCCTCTGCCCTGCCCAGGGACCCCCTTGTCTCTGAAGAGAAACTGTACTAGCTGGGGAGGGCTCTGCCTGGGCAGCTGCTGATGGGAAGCCGGCTCTGTGCACCTCATTCCCAGCATGACAACTCAGCAGAGGCCCCACATGCTCATCGTGGGGGGCGAAACGCACCCCATGCTCTGATGCTCCTCCTTCAAGAGGAGAGCTTAGGTCCCTCAGCCTCGTGTGTGGCCGGCCTTCAAGAAGAGAATCGGCAGGGTGATGGCGCGGCCCCTCCTAAACTAGGCCTAGGAAGCATGGTGGTTCCTGCAAAAGTGAAACACAGACTGGCCCGTGGGCCAGCCACGCCACCGCTGGGTGTGTGGCCAGAGATGTGAAAGCCAGATCCGCACAAATACTCGCACACCCACGTCCGCCCGCGTCCACAGCAGCAGTCTGCAGCAGCCGACAGGCGGCAAGAAGCCAAGGGTCTGCTGTCGGGTGAACGGAAAAGCAAACTGTGGTCTGGCCACAGGGCGGAATATTACGTAGCCTTGAAAAGCAAGGAAATCCTGCAACTCGCTTCAATACGGAGGATGAGGATGTTATGCCGAGCAAGAGTCACAAAAGGACCAATGTGTGATCCCACTGCCGTGCGGTCCCTAGTGGGGACCAATCCGCAGACACAGTGTGTGGTGGTTCCTGGGCCTGGGGGGCCCGACGGGAGGTAGCGTTTCCCGGGTGCAGACTTTCCACCCAGGATGATGTAAACTGTGGGTACAGACAATGGCAACAATCACAAATGTTGTGAATATACATGATGCCGCTGAACTATATACTTAAAAACGGTTAAAATTATAAATACTATGTGCATTTTACTACGTTTTGGGAGGAAAAAGTAGCTTCGTGCCCCTCATTCTCCCTCCCTACCTGCCTGTCTCCCTCTGAGTCCCTGTCATTATGCACTCCGGGGACCCACTGCCACGTGCTGAAGATGCTCAAGTGGCCCCGATGAGACACCCAGTAGGGAGGGACTCCGGCCTCCCACTGATAGCCACCTGAGCAAGCCTTAGAAGCAAATGCTGAAGATGCAGGCAAACATTCGGAAGACACAGCTCAGGCCAGTGTCCACACCACAAAGGAGCCCCGGCGGAGCTGCCCAGGCCCGGGCCCAGGAGGTCTGTTCTGCTGTCTTGAGTCCTGCATTTTCATTTTGCACGGATCCCGCAGGTTATGTAGCAGCCCTGACCACCCAGCCCCACGGCTCTTGAGTCCACAGAGAAAATCAGTGCCCGTGGGTTGAGTTTTGCTGCTGGTCATGCAGCGCGGGTGACTCACGCAAGTTAAGAACTCCAGCAGTGTGTGGCCTGTGCGGCCCCACTCGACACACACAGACCCTGTGGGAGCTCAGAGCCATGGCAGCTCTCCAGCAGTAAGGCTGGGCCCCCGGCCACGACCCTGACTCTGAGCCTCCCCAAGTCACCTCCACAGGGAGGGCTCAGTGCTGTGCCCTCCACCTGACTCCTCTCAGCTCCTCCCGGGCACTCCCTCTGAGTGCCCATCTCCACTTTACAGATGGAGAAACTGAGGCTCCTTCCCTCCCCATGCCCCAAACACAGCTGCTCTGAAGAAGCGGCACAGGATGGGGAGCCCCTCCCAGAGCCCCCGCCCTGCACCTGGCTGAACAAGGTCCCACTGCCTCTCCCACGGGCACCAGGGGCACTTCTGTCCATAGTGGGGCTGGGCAGACCCAGGCCCAGGAGCAAGGGGACCCCTCACCTCCCCCTAGACATCTCTCCCACTACTCCCCAGAGAGCCCCTCCTGAGTCTACAGAAAATGTTCCCTCTGCACCCGAGTCTAGCCCTGCCTCCCCATGTTCTGGAATGTTCTCTCTGTACCACCCTGTGTCAGCTCTGCCTCCCCATGTTCTGGAAGGTTTCTTCTGCATTCCCCCGTCAGCTTGCCTCCTCCTTGTTCCAGAATGTTCTTTCTCCACCCCAGTCTCAGCTCTGCTTCCCGTGTTCTGGAATGTTCCCTCTAAATGCCCCAGTCTCAGCCCTGCCTCCATGTTCTGGAATGTTCCCTCTGCACCCCAGTCTCAGCTCTGGCTCCCCCACGTTCTGGAATGTTCCCTTTAAATGCCCCAGTCTCAGCCCTGCCTCCCCCGTGTTCTGGAATGTTCCCTTGCACCCCCCAGCCTCAGCTCTGCCTCCCCATGTTCTGGAATGTTCCCTCTGTACCCCCCAGGCTGAGCTCTGCCTCCCCCATGTTCTAGAATGTTCCCTCTGCACCCCACAGTCTCAGCTCTGCCTCCCCTTATTCTGGAATGTTCCCTCTGCATCCTGCAGTCTCAGCCCTAACGCCCCCATGTTCTGGAATGTTCCCTCTGCACCCCCCAGCCTGAGCTCTGCCCCCCATGTTCTGGAATGTTCCCTCTGCATCCCCCTGCATCAGCTTGCCTCCTCCTTGTCCTAGAATGTTCCTTCTGCAACCCAGTCTCAGCTCTGCCTTCCCGTGTTCTGGAATGTTCCCCCCACATCCCAGTCTCAGCTCTGCCTCCCCCGTGTACTGGAATGTTCCCTCTGCACCCCGCAGTCTCAGCTCTGCCTCCCCGT